CCGGGACAACAGGACATCCTTAATTTCGAACACTGCTAACAGTCCACAAATTCTTGCAATAATAGGATGTTAATCTGAAAATTCATGAGTGAGAGTATGTTTAAAGGTCCACTGTGTAACATTTAGGACGATCTATTGGCGAAAATTGAATATAATATTCACAGGTATGTTTTCATTAATGTATAATCATCTGAAAATAAGAACTGTTGTTTCTTTTGTTAGAATGAGATGTTTTTATCTACAAAGGGGGCAGGTACTCTTCCATTAAGTCTGCCATGTTGAACCGCCATGTTGTACAGTAGCCCAGAATGGACAAAGCAAACACTGGCTCTAGATATTGTTTTTCATGTTTGTTTGTTTTTTCAAGTTTTCGTGGCCACTATAGGTTGGTTGCAATCTGCCTCTAAATCCTACACACTGGTCCTTTAAATTATTTTGATGACACTACTACTACTAATAAAATATGGATGTTTCAGTGTGCCTATAATGTGCTGAGGAACTTGTCATGTTAAAATGTATACATACTTAACATGTTGGCACTGGCCTAGTTAAAGCAGATCTAGTACTAAAGAAAGCTTAAGAATAAACAGGAATCGAATTTGTTCTTTGGTGTCAGCAGGTGAAAAATTATGTATCACAGGGTGACCCAGTTACCAGCTTGTCTGACTTCTCTAGCACATTTAGCCTATGCTGCTTTTCTTATTAATATTAAATAATTAATGGAGACACATGAATTTTACATATTTTTTGTTCATTAGGTGCTGTGAGATTTGGGGAGGGGAGGAGGCAGCAGTGCGGAAACCTTACAAGGCACAGTTTTAACAGGCAAAGACTTTCTCATATTGCTTCGTGCAAAAGCTCTCAAAAATGATGTCACCCTTTTTCAGAGGATGCCCCGGAGGGAGGTCACATGGGGTCAGTTCTCTGCAGCCAAAAGCTTGGCAGGGCTGGGATTTGGAATATGCCTGCTGCTTGTGCGATCCCATTTCCCGTCCTGGTAAGCCTGTCTCACAAGAGCCACGTCAGCTCACATCTCTTCATAGACTGCAAGTGCCTCCCCCTGCATTCACATCTGCTCTGTGTGTGTGTGTGTGCAGCTTTATAAAAGGAGTCAGCATTCCCCCCTCAGACACAAACTGTAACATGTAGGCAATATTTTAATTGAAAATCTTCTAGTTTTTAATCACATCAACAACTGTGTGTGCAGGTGCTTTTATGATATAAATCCAGTTTAATAGAGAGGCACTGATTTAAAAAAAAAATGCCAATCACAGTTTCCCAGAGCCCAGCGTGGCTTCTTCAAAGGGTTGTTTTGTCTGAAAACACAAGGATATACAATATAGAAAATAATGTATTTTAAATTTAAAATTACTTAAAAAACTCAAGTTATATACACCAGTTTCCGAACCAGTGGAATAACTGATAAAGCGACTAATAGTTTCAGCTCTATCATATAATGTGTTGATGTCGATTAGTAGTCGGCTATATACAGTGGCAAGGTCTACAATATACAATACTACAATAAAATTAACTCCAAATGCCCTTAAGGCTAAAGGCTGCGTCTGCTAATTCAGATGTACCTCATTTATTATGACTATGCCCCCAAAGTGCATTTTAAAATCACCCAATAATGAATCTAATCTAATTCAGTTTCATACAAAATTATCACATTAACGTATTCAGTGCATTTTGGAAACAGTGCTTCCTTCAAATTGAGCAGTTTTTCTCTCTGTTGATGTTTTAATTCTCATACAGGAACATGCTGATTGCTACGTCTCTCTCTGCTAATTGGCGTTCAGCCTAGTATGACCTGACATTGCAGCAGTTAATTTTGATTGTGTTAGCAGTAACTGTGTTTACATTGTTTACCATTCATAGGTTTTAATTATCAACTTGATGATGCTGTACATTGTACATTGGTATTTCTTTCATTAATCTAATACAATAGCATTAAATTCAGTACACAAACTCAGTAGCCATGAGTCACACTCCATAAACCCTTTTTACAGCCAACATTATGACTTGCTGAGGCAGGTAAAGTACACTGAGATGTCAAAATGTCTGTTACCATAATTACAAAAGCCTTCTATAGTGCAGTATTTAGATAATCATATATGAGGCAACAACAATTTACTTGATCTCTATTCCCTATGTTCACCTTTTGGACAATTTGACCACAGCTCCTTATCTTTTATCCCTAAACTCTCCACTTACATCTTCCTTTTATCCTCCTCATCTTCCGCTATTGTCATTCTCATTTATCCATTAAATTAGTCTTCTTCCTTGTCCCGCAAATCTGCTTCCTTAAAACCTCCCTACACCTCCTTTCTCCTCCTCCTCTCAACTCCCACCTTCTCCTCATTTCTAGCCCTGTCTGTGTATAAGTGGGTCACAGACTACAGCTGTGCCAAAAGCCTAGTCTGGGAAGAGGAGCTTCTCTAAATAAAACACTATATGATCAACGTTCTCTGGGGTCCCTCATCATACATACATAAAGCTGAGAAAGATGGAGAGAAGAGGGAAAAGAGTTCAAGAGAGAGAGATAATGTATATGCAGCTTGATTAATTGGCTTTCTGGCCTTGTTGGCTTGGTGGAAAGATAGAAAGCAATTTCCACTCGCATGTTTTATATACATATAAAGTATATATAGGCCACATCAAAGCTTTTAATCAC